GCAGAAGATAATTTCTTTTGTATTTCCAAATGTACCTCTGAATACATTTTCTCTTTTGTGCTTCTTTAACTTCTAAGTCATTCTCACACCAGCCTTGGTCTTATATAGGAACCTCTTTTATAATCCCATCAAAACATCAGAAGCATGAATGGAATGAAATGAATGAATCATCAGGACAGAAAGTAGACATAGACCTCATGTATATTTCTGAGGCAAAACCTGGTACTGAAATTCTTAATTTGAAGAGAGTGAGCAAATAATTCTCTAAGTCAAATTCCAGTTTCTTCTTGATCTATCATTTGCATATATTTTGTTTACTAGTTCTATTATTTGGTGCATACTGGACACTGTGGTCTGTACTAAGAAAGCATAGCCCCTGCTACTGTTAAAGATGTTTATCATTATTGGCTGCAGGTATTATAGCACAGTCAGCTGAAATGCATTGACTGAATGCCTACACAGATCTTGCTGTGTCCTGCTTCCCAGCTGACAAATTCCTACCTGGTGGAAGGGTAGGGAAATTCTCCACCAATGATGTAGTGATACAAATGCACTCAGAGGGGATTGATCTTCATAGTAATCATGAAGTAGCATTTTTAAAAGCACTCGTTCTTGAATAGATAAACTTTTAATTTGTAAAGAGATTTAATATTTACAAAGGGCTGTCATATTATGATTTTTGCCTCAGTTTTGCAGCAAAGGCAGCAAAGGTAGAAAAGTTAGGTAACTAAACACTAATCACAAAAGTAAGTAAATGCCAAAAGTCTTCTGAGTTGTCACCTAGCCTTGCACCTCCCATTCCCCCATCATCACATTTTTTTACAATCTTTTTTTTTGTGTGTGTTCATTAGAATTTTTTTATTATTAGTTGCTCAAAACATTACATAGCTCTTGACATCATATTTCATACATTTGATTCAAGTGGGTTATGAACTCCCATTTTTACCCCGTATACAGATTGCAGAATCACATCGGTTACACATCCACGTTTTTACATACTGCCATACTAGTGTCTGTTGTATTCTGCTGCCCTTCCTATCCTCTACTATCCCCCCTCCCCTCCCTTCCCCTCCCATCTTCTCTCTACCCCATCTACTGTAATTCATTTCTCTCTCTTGTTGTTTTCCCTTTCCCCTCACTTCCTCTTATATGTAATTTTGTATAACAATGAGGGTCTCCTTCCTTTACCATGCAATTTCCCTTCTCTCTCCCTTTCCCTCCCACCTCTCGTCCCTGTTTAATGGTGATCTTCTTCTCATGCTCTTCCTCCCTGCTCTGTTCTTAGTTGCCCTCCTTATATCAAAGAAGACATTTGGCATTTGTTTTTTAGGGATTTTACTGTATTACTTCTGTGTGTTGATCTGTCTCAAAGTTAAAGCAAAGTAAGGATTACATTTCCAGGGCTGAACAGTGTCACGTAAGATGCAAAGCCATTCTCTTAGTCATCAGACCATCCCATGGGAGCATTACAATTGGCCCAAAAATATACATATAGTTAGTTTGTCTTCTGAGCTTCCTTTTTAACTCAATGAATTGGCTGGGAGTAAATTTAGCTGAATTAATAGAAAAATTAAAAGTATTATTAGTTTAAGCCTGATAAATATTTATTTCCCTGTCAAATTAAGCCCTGAGTCAAAAATTCCGAGTTAATTAGGTCAGATCTATGATGTCTTCACATCCCTCCTTTTAACCTATCTCTATTATCTTCAGGTCATATCATGGTCTAAAAGGGCTGTTGAATCTCCTACCATCAGAAACTCATTCCATATCCCAAGTGAGAGCAAAAGGAGAAGAGAGTCATACTCCATTTAAGGGGACTCTGGCATTTCAAAAAATACTTCCATCTAGATCTCCTTGGGAGATGCTCAGGCTTGTGCCCACCATTTGTTTTTGGAACTTTATTGCTGAAAAGGAAGGAGAGGAAATGAGAGTAGGAAACAAGAGGTCTTGTCATACTAGTGTGTTAGGAAAAGTGAGTGTGCCCAGGTCAATGACTAGAATACCCTATGTCTCCCTCACATGGTATTGGCCTGGTCGGGATCAAGTTGGAAGAGTTGAGCCTTGCCTAACTAAAAATAGTCATTGTTCCAGATTCTATTATTTCTTTTAGTAAAAACTATTGAATTTCCTGAGAAATTCATTTAAATATTGGTAACAGAAACAATAGTTTCCCAGAACCCAAAAGCTTCTAAATAATGTTATTCACTCACAAATACAAGCTTTTACTGAAAGTGAAATTGTGAATCTCACACTAAACATAAAATTAATATTGAATTGTTAATTTGCAAATAAATGAACAATTCTCATGAACACATTGGTTTTTCCTTGGCTTTTCTCAAGTAAGCTGTCAGATTGAAGGACCTCTACATTAAAAGGAATTTTCTATTATATATTGTTTCTACCTTGCCCATAGATTTTTAAAGACTGTTCTCTGCATCTCCCCAGGCCATAGGAAGAATGAATTTCTGGCAAAGAGTCTGCTTTAGGAGAGTAAACTGCTCTGGTTTTTTGTGTTTGTTTTTTTAATCACGAGAGTTATTCTGTAGTACATGGATGTTATTATAGTGCTTCTATTAGAATGAGTGATAGTAGAAAATGAAATCTGCAAAATATTAGTAGGTGCATTTTCTTACCAACTTTATGCAAAGATTTTTGTTTTAGACACTTTTTCGCTGCTGTGACTAAAAGACCTGACAAAAACAGTTTTATGGGAGGAAAAGTTTATTTAGAGGCTCACAGTTTCAGAGGTCTCAGTCCATAGATAACCAGCTCCATTTCTTGGGGCTCAAGGTGAGGCAGAACATCAAGGCAGAAGAGTGTCGTGGAGGGAAGTGGCTCCCATGATATACCCCAAAGCCATCCCCCAAAGTGCATCTCTTCCAGCCTCTCCCCACCCACCTTCAGTTACCACCCAGTTAATCCCATCAGGGAATTAATCCACTCATTGGGTTAAGGCTGTCACAGCCCAATCATTTTACCTCTAAACTCTCATGTATTGTCTCACAAATGAACTTTTGGGGGATACCTTACGTCCAAACCATAACAATTTTTAAAAAGATATTCACCTTCTTGCTATCAGACTTTCTCATAGTGATTTATTTGTATAATGAGTTAAGGAACAAAATTTTTTCAAATTTAGGGATGGGATATAGCTCAGTGGTAGAAAATTTGCCTAGTATGCAAGAAGCCCTGGTTTTGATCCCTAAGAACAACAAACAACAAAAAAACCCCAAGATTTTCAAATTTAGATATAATATATATGTGTGTGTGTCCATATATATGCATACATACATACATATATACTATATATACATACATATATATGTATCTTTCATAGCTATATTATATATGAAAGCTAAACACTTGATGATAGACTGTAATTACTATGCATCAAAATAGTAAAAGCTATCTTGATTCATGTGGATAAATGTGATTTGAAATTTAGGAAAATTCCTTAACAAGATAAATAGAGAAAAATGTTTTTAAGGAAAGGACTTATCACATGATTGAGTCATTTATACTAAATGAAGTTAATAATACCAAATTGGACATTTTTCTATTTGTAAGTTATTGCCAGTGTATATTTCAAGATACATGAGTTAAATGAATTATTTTCTTAATTCCTGTTGAAATATTCTTAATAACCTCAATTTTTAAATCCCCATTCTGCAACACCTGGATATAGGACATACTGGCTGCTAATGCAAATTATGACTGTTTATCTGTTTAATTTCTAATTTCAAAGATGGTATTAAAGTATATATATATGTGTGTGTGTATGTTGTGTGTGTGTGATTAAAATATACACATTTCTAATTTTATCATATATAAACTCAAATATTCACTAGCTTCTCCTGTAAGCCTTGGTGTCTCTGTATCTTACTTCCTTACATTTATCAGAGTAAATGTCCTGTCCCTCAGCAAGCTAGACCTTTTTCCAAGTATTTCCATTCCTTTTTGTGCCTTTAAGGGCTTTCTCTTAAGGAAGAGGAATGAGCTTTTTTCTCCAAGCTCATGAAGCATTCACAATTTGCCTGTATATTTAGAGTTGGAAGCATGTTTCTAGAACCATATGGTAAATTGTCAGTATGTTTGTAGAATGAGTAGAAATCTTAAAATTAAGTATTTATCAATCAAAAAATGTCTCATAAGAACACAAACCGAGATGCAAAGATCCCTGTAAAAGAATATCCATCTTAGTATTACCTGGAATTGGATTTTTTTTTAGAAACAATATGGCTGTGTTTTTTTAAAGGCCCAGTGAATTACACCTTTCTTTACCTCCCCTGAGTTCTGATTTCAATTAAGTTATATGATAACAACAGAAAAATTAAATATGACCTCATTTCCAGATAATGGAGACGATGGCTTAGGTGCATAGTTTCCTATTACTGGTACTCTTACAGTCAGACAGACTTGCCACTCCAGAAGCATGTAATGCTGGGCTCTGGGAGGCCACCTATGTGTGGGCCCACTACTCTAAAATTGAGGCTCTTTCTGGGCCACCAAAGAACAAAGTGCGTGAGAGCCAAGGAGCCCCTCCTCCCTAAGGGAAGAGTGAGACATAGGGCTGTAAAGGTACATACTAGAAGGGTAACTGATAGGTGACACTCCACATAGAGGCTAGGGACAATCAATACCAAGTTCAAACAACTCAAGAGCATTTAATGAAATAATGCCAGCCACACCAATGTGTGGTAGTCAATAAAACCACATTTTAGAGACTATTTAGTAGCATAGTAAGTTGAATAAATGTCATGTTAAATGAACCGAAACTGTGTGTTCATCATTAGTCAATGAAACACTGTATCACGTAAGTCCAATTTCATGAAATACAGGCACTTAAAAAATGAGCAGAAAATCTCCAAAATATTTAGAGTAGTTATCCATAGGTGGTAGTATACTTGCCAATTTAAATATGTTCATTTCTCCTGCACTTGAAAAATTAGCTACAAATGGACTTGACTGACTTGTTAGAAAGTGAAATATCATTGTCTTACCTGGGTGAAGGTGATTGGAAGGTAACATACTTTGGGGCATCTGGAGGCACATATTGGAGTGACTGGTCTCAAGTATAAAAATCCTTGTAACTCTCAGCTTTATCTTAAATATTCATGAGCATTTTGCATTCTATGCCATAATGCAACTCTGCTTTAAAAAAAACAAAATGATGCTTTAGCTTGTTATTTAAAAATAGAAACAAAACAACTCTAATCTTTCTGTCAAATGCCAAGTGCTGTGAAAGTGAGTCTATCTGGGTTTGAAGATTGTGCTGGTTGCAGGATACCACCCTCTGGACCTCATTGTTTGCTTCAGCTGTTCTCTCCTCCCCTCTAGTTCACCTTAGATGTTGAGAATTCAGACTCACAAAAATCTGCAATGGGTGACAGTAGTTTTCCTGCTGCTTGGGAGCTCTCTGAGGAGAGGAGCCCAATAGCCAAGATGGACCGCAGGGGGTGTTAAGGCTACAGATGGAGGAGATAACAGCATCCCCTTGCTGAGAGGCCAGGAGATGGTATCCCTCCTTGGTTTTTTGCACGTGTCAAGGGCAGTGATCTATTGCTATGTCACTCTCTTATTCTCACTGTTAATGCTCATCAAAGACCATTTTCAGGGAAGAAAGATGTCTTCCACTACCTACTTTTTTTTTCTCATGTAAATAAAATAGTGTCCTCTCAGAACACCTTTTCCATAGTCAATTCTCCTTCTCTAGCTCCAAAGCTCCATTTTTATTGTGAGTTTTGTCCTATGCAGTAGGGGTTGGTGTGTTCACTTGCTGTGGGCAGTGGTGAGGATTCAGGCACACTCCAGAGTGTTTTTTGTGATTATTTTTCTTTGGGCATCTCTTTCATCTTAGTCCCATTTTGATCTACACTGGTTTAGCTACATCTGTAGACTGTAGCTCCATCAATTTTAGTCTGGTTGTGTAGGCTTTATCTTTCCAAATGAATCTGAAATGGACTTCCAAAGAAATTAAGCAAGTTTTATTTGCGTGTTTGTGTTTTTCCCAGTATTGTTTCTAGCCAAGATTTCTCTCTTCTCAGTCACATTTTCTTTCAAAATATGCATACTTGGCTTTCAAATGTTGCTCCAAGAATGATGATTTCAGGAAGCTATTGTTGGAATTTTCTGGCAATAATGATACCAAAATTTAGGCTATTTATAAAGAGCCTAACCTAATTAATAAAAACCCATATGTTAAATCAACATCTGCAAAGGGTGTTATGTGACAACATGAAAAGGTAGTCACTGCCTCATTCCACTGAGAGCCAGTAGAGAATCCAAGCCCTAGAAGCTTTACAACTTAAGGGTGAGAGATCTCAGGCGTTAACAGACTACCTCAATCAGTCAGTGGAGGATCACTCTCTGCTGGGCATGAATTCTCTATCACTCCCTCATTCCCTAAAAGTAGACAGAGTGGTCTCCAGGCACCTAGGAGAGCCCTCAAACAAAGTGCAGATGCTGGCATGAGAAGTCTGGGTTATGGTGAGGCGTCAATGAGCTCTTGCCCTTGCAGAGAGGAAGCAAGACAGTTTCAAGTACAAAGATCTAATATCAGAATTTAGTAGATAAAAGTGCCTAAAATCCTAGTAGTAGAGTGCTTTTCCGGAAATTTGCAGAGTATTCTGTACTCACCTGATATTTTCCCAAAACATGGCAGAAATACTGTAGGACGATACTTTATTAGATAAGGAAATGATAGGGATCCCTGGTTCATGGTACATACCTCTCTTGTAGCACTTATTGTTCCTCTTCTAATTGAGGACTGAGATCACGTCTTATTTGAATTTCTATCTCCTACAGTACCTAGAAAATGGTATTCGTTGTTACCTTGAAGTTCTTGGAAAGATATATCTTTAATTTTAGTACATCAAGAATAGTATTGTGCTTCTCTGATTTCTTCTATTACAAATCGCTAAATCAATATAGTCATAGCTTCTCAATGGAATACTGGATGCTTGATTTTTTTTTTCAAAACCATAGGAGAATTTTAGCAAATTCACATTTCAGACCAAATTCCCACACCTGTCTGAGATTTGTGGAGAATCTCAGACAGGTGTGGATCTGTGTGTTTTTCCTCTAAAATCTGGTCCAGGAAGCAAACTCTACAGCTCCCCTGGAGAGAAGCCTACCTAATGAATCAGAGGGAATCTGTGGTTCTGAGCTTTGGGCCCCATATCCCCTCTCCAGTCACCATCCTTTAACTACTCTTAGAGTCCTCATAACAGCAAAGGTAGCTATTTTTTTCTACTCCTCTGCCCAGGGAATCGCAAAGTCCTTGTTGGCTCCTGTGGAATTGTACAGTTATTGGTCTTAGAGTCACAATTTTCCCCAGTCCCCTGTACTCTCTTGTCAGGTTTCACAAGCATGATTTCCTGGCTTTCATACACAGGCCTGAATGAAATGTTGGTTACTCTGTAATTGTTGTATCTACGTGATAGACCTAGTCTAGCAAAAGACCAATAGTTCCTTTGATGACTCATGGCAAATGGTGACAGGATTACCCCTTGCCAAGCTCTGCTCAAGCACTTTCTCTGTATGAAGTCATTAAATTCTCACAAAAACAAAGACCTCCTCAGGTTATTATTATCCCCAGAGTACTTATGGCATAGAAAACCAAAGTAAATTACTTCAAGGTCACACTTCTGCTCAACTGAATAACCAAAATTCAAATCCAGGCAGTTAGAGCCAGAATCTAAATTCTTAACCACCAAACTGTCAGTATACCATGTGTTGTTCCATGCAGGCATGCACTGACACATACAGCATAGTAATGTTCACTGTAAACTCTTGAGGCTGAGAGAGCAGGCTTTGAGAGGGACTTAGATATGTGTGTGACAGAAGACAGACTAGAGCAGACATGGGACTGAGAGGAGGGAACATTTGGAAATTGTCATTTGAATGGATACTGTATAAGGGTGCCTGGTAATCTCAGGTGATCACCTCCCCATTTCATTCCAGGGAATTGTTTCTCTGGTGTCGTTCTCATGGTATAGCTGCATCAGCCAGCATCTCCCACCCAGTGCATCTTAACAGTTGCCCTTCTTTTATGGCAGAGACCAAGCCATGGAGTCAGTAGGAAAGCAGATCTCCTAACTGCAAGATATCTTCCTCATCTTCCCAATTTATCTAACTCTGAATTCTTGGGTTTACCTTATCCGAGTTTAGCACTAACTTGTACCCTTTATGAAAATGAAAATATGACTTAAGCAAAAACATCCACAGTTTTAGTCCTAGGTGCCTTAAGGTCTACTCTCAATCACACAACCTAAACCTAAATTTGAGTTTATAAATGTATATGCCAAATCTCAGTTCAAAAACTTAGTCTTCCAATTAAATTCAATTTATCCTAATCTGGGATATCCAATTTCTGTACATCTTTCTGCTTTTTAATATGCCATTCTATTTCACATACAAACAAACAAACAAACAAACAAATCCATTTTGACTATTTTAGTTTTTTCAGGTTAAAAAAAACTTGCTTTAACAATCAGTTTATGATCATCAATATTTAGAAAACTATTCAAGTACTGTAGGTAATGAACTAGGTGTATATTCAATGCATATTTAAAGATAACTGTCAGAAAAAAGCAAACAGGTAACTATTTATGAATTGTTTAATCTACCAGACTATACTATATTTGAAACAATAGTAAAAGTTAACACCTTTGAATGAAAATGTATGTATCACTACGATCATTTACTGATAATTTAAATACATGCACAGTTTGAATATTCCTTATCCAAAATGCTTGGGATTAGAAGAGGTTTTGATTTTTTGATTTTTGAATATTTGAGTATATATAAAGAGATGTATTGGAGATAGGACTCAATTCTAAACATGAAATTCGCGTACATTTTAAATACATCTCATATACATAGACTGAAGTTGATTTTATACAATATATTAAATAATTTTGTGCATAAAATGAAGTTTAATTGCAAGAAATTTTTCCCTTCTGGCATCAGGTTGATGCTCAAAAAATTTCAGTTTTGTAGCATTTGGATTTTGTATTCTTGAATTAGAGATGCTCAAACTGTAATAAATCTTCTAATTTGTGAACAAAACTCAACCCTAAATCATTTAGTGTTTTACTTCAGTTTTTTAAAGATATAAACAGAATCCTTCACTCTCTCATGGTTGATGTGATTCTTCATACAAACAATACAAAAAAAAAAAGAAAAAAAACAAAATTTTCAAATATCATTTGGAATGTTAATAAGTGTCACAAAATAAATGCATTCTTTTGATAAACCTAAGATGACAAATAAAATACACAACAAGTTCATGGACTTAAAATCTCCCTTCAACTGCATCCCCTTTAATCCGCTATGTGTCAGTAGATTTAGTTTGAAATATATTTGGCTTTTTAAAACTGTTCTAGAGTTGGGTTGTTTCTAAAGCCTAAATATTTCTAATACAATAGTTAGATTTTATGTGTCCTTCACATACTCTAAGCTCCTGCTAAGTTTCTCCTTCATGGTCATTAAAATATCTCATAATAAGATAGATAAAAATACATACCTTAATCACATTTCTTTTCTAATGATTCTGTTTAGATTGAGAGTCCCAATCCAGAAGTTGAGATAGATCCTCTATAGTCTTCCTCCTAGCAATTTTGATTAGGGCATAAGGAGCTTAGAGAGAGTAAATTTTTGTTTTGTTTTAGGGTTTTTTTTTTTTTTAACCAGTAGCTAGGATATGCAGTTAGAACTGTGCATAGAGAACAATAGAAATCCCACCAATTTAAGGAGAGTGAATAAAGATACACAGGGAGAAGGCTGGGGGTGTGGCTCAGTGGTAGAGCGCTTGCCTAGCATGTGTGAGGCACTGGGTTCAATTCTCAGCACTGCATATAAATAAGTAGACAAAATAAAGGTCTGTCAACAACTAAAAATGTATTTTTTAGACATGAGAGAAGCTGAGATAACATACTATGTGATCCAGAAGAGAATAGGTGGAAGGTTGAAAGGAGTGTACACAATAGTCTCTTCTGACTTCTTTTTCCTTGTTCCAATCTCACCGGAGGCCAATCCTCATCTTGAGAGACATATTCTTACAGGCTTCCAGGAAATCTCCCACTTTGCTTAAACCAGTTAAGTGGGTATTCAACCCTTAGAGACAGCCATTTGTGGTTAAGGTATGTAAATTTTTATCTTAAAATAGTAAATACCTTTAATTCATGGATAACCATTCAAGTCTTTACTAATTTCCATTTGCAAGTATCTAAAAATACCCTTTGCTTCTTTTTATTACTATGAAAATAATATTAATAGTTTTAGGTAAAATTTTTGTTTCTTACCCTTTTATATATGCGTGTGTGAAGACATATATAATTATAGGTGGTAAGAAGAAAAGGCATGCTCTATAATTTTTAAAGTTGCATATTGAAAATGTTCCCATTTAAGGAAGTTCTTGTAAAGTTATTTTTCAAGTATTTGTTATTGCATAGACATATTTTAAATCTCTTAGTAATCACTTATTACTATAAAATTGTATAGTTAAAATAGTTAGTCTTATACATAAATCTTTCTCAATACCTTTCTATTTCTTTCAGTTTAATTCTCTTTTATCTGAAATATGATTAGTTTTTTATTATACTTACATGTGGTTCTTGCCTTATTATATTGATAGTACTCTTACATTGAAGTGATGGGCTTCCTGCCTTGTTCTTGAATTTTACACAGATACTTCAGATACTTCAAGCATGATTTTGGCCATTGTTTTATGATAATGCTATTTTATATTAAGTAATACTACTATTTGCCTAATTTATTTGCAAAATCATAAACAGATGTCCAGATACCAAATGATATTTGTACAATTTGGGATTATCTTATTTGCTTTCTCCTTTAATCTCTTGATGTGAGGCACATGAACCATGTCTTTGACTCTGAGAGCTAAATGCTAGCTGGTCATATTGTGTAGGATTTAACATGTCAACTGAAATTATTTCATAAAGTTATTTATAATGATATTAATAATAGAGTTTAATTTGGTTTTTATTGGTAGCAAATTAGTGATTTGCTTTTTTAAGATTGATATGTCATTTGGCATCATAGTTTCATTTGGATTCTGATGACTTGACTTTGCTATCCAGATTTTCTTGATTCCCCATGGGTTTAGAGAATGGATGGTGAAAGTTGGCATGAATGGAAATTTGTTTGGTCCTTGCGTGTTGTTCTATTGTTTTTTTTTGTTTGTTTTTGTTTTTGTTTTTTTTGTTTTTTACAGTCTGGATTCAGTCTGCTACTCATTAACTCCTGTGCACACCATTTTCCAATTTGATATACTGTACCTATGGGTGCATTTCAAAATGATCTATGTCCATGTTTAATAACTAAAGCATGTATGTGGGTGGAAGAACTCTGTAACCATAAATCTGAGACTAAGTTCCTCTTTGACCCTCTGGTTCTCTGATTTGGCTCACCTGTCATAAATAGCCTAAATGTTACTCAAGCCAACATTTTTTCCCCTTCTAGAATTTCAGTCTATGAAGCCTGAGTAAATACTTAAAATAAATGAGACACATTAAACATGATTCATTTGAAATTACAAGATAAATGGGAAAGCTCAGTTACTGAAGAGCACACTTCCCACTTAGTTTTGACATTGTTTTGTTTGTTTGGTTTCAGTTAATGTCTCTTTTGTATCATCAAATAATGCAACTAGAGGTCCCTAGCATAGCACCTGGCATACAATAGTGATTCAATATGGATTTGATGAAATAAGTATATATGTGATATTTATGAGTTTTCATTTCATGATTGCAGAACAAAATTTATCTTAACCACAATTTTTGGACCCGAATTTATTTTTTTATTCTGTATGTTGGACAGATAGCTAATGAAAATGGTGGCATTTGTTTATTTGTTCATTCACTGGTTTCATAGTCATTTTTATCATCAATAGCATAAGGGTTAAGATCCTGTCCCGCAAGAGAGTTCATTGCAAACAAGGTTGGGATATAGTCAGACACATAGCCTTAACTATAATTGTATGGGTTTGGTGAAATGGAACATGAATGGGAGCAATGAGAATGGTTTATTTTATGCACATTAGAAGAATTTAGAAAAGTTTCAAAGAGGATCAAACTTTTATCTAAATTCTGAATAACTACTAAAAGGTAGAGGCAGATAATATTGGAAGATTCCTTGCATTCTTGGAAAATAGTCTTTTATTTAAACAGTTGAGCATGCCTTCCATTATTTTAATAAAGATAATTTATCATATTATTCCTATATTTTTGTTTACCAAAAAACCTAGCATTTGGGGCCAGGTGTGGTGGTGCATGCCTGTAATCCCAGGGGCTCAGGAGGCTTAGACAGTAGGATCCCACGTTCAAAGCCAGCCTCAGCAAAAGCAAGGTGCTAAGCAACTCAGTGAGATCCTGTCTCTAAATAGAATACAAAATAGGGATGGGGATGTGGCTTAATGGTCAAGTGCCCCTAAGTTCAATCCCTAGTAGGCACCCCCAGCAAAAAAAACCCTAGCATTTTGGGTTATTAACCTTTTTTACATTAGGACAATAATTGTGTTCCAATGATTGTGTTGTAAAGTTAGACTTAGTCATTTTAATCCAGTTTGAGAAACAAGCTTTATCATATAAAAGGGAAAGGTATTTGAATATTATTTGAATTCAATTTGATGGTATTTATTTGGAATTACGTTTGTCAGTGAGATTGGTCAGCAACTTTCTATACTAAAATTTTGGCTAACTTTTATGGTTTGCATTTCTGACGTTTTATCTCTTATGAACAATGTGGATTTCCAAGTTGTTCACTCTATTTTGAGTTTCCCTGCATTACTTTCTTATGAAATTCTTCTCTCGTGTACATCTCTCTTTTCATCTTAGCCTATTCTCTTTCTGTGGATTTCAGTTCTTGTTTTCATAGAGGCTCTGAATTTCTAAATTCTAGTGATACAAGCATCATTTCATCATGCTTATTTTCTTCCTATTTCAGTATTAAATGATGTCCTCTTCTAAATCCTCAAATTGATTTTGCATTTATTGGATTTACAGAATATTTTCATAGGCCTTCTCTAGACATATTTTTTTTTAATCTGAGTATGAGGCTACTATGATCTTGGCCTACACTATCCAGTCTTCTAGCCACTAGCCACATTTGTCTACTTAAATCTAAATTAATTAAAATTATTAAATAAAATTATGAATTTAGTCCTTCATTTGCAACAGACTTGTTTCAAATGCTCCATAGTCACATGTGGCAAGTGACCACTGTATTGAGCTTAATAGATAATCTGTCAATCATCCCAGAAAGTTCTGTTGGACAGTGTTGACCTGAGCCCTCTTCTTTAAACAAACATAGCATGTGGCTTATTTTTAACTTCTTTTGCTGATCATTTGGGTAAGTTATCAGTTCTTTTCAATAATCATAATAGATAGCACATTTTACACTCATGGGTTCCAACACTTATTTTACTCGCTTATTTATCATTTGCTGCAAACACTTTGGCTATACTTATTTATTCGTGGATGAAGAAAAACAGAAGGAAAAGAAAGAAAAACCTTCCACTCTATTTGATTTCTTTGAATATTTCTGTTTGATAAAATATAGAATGTAAGATAAAGTATAAGAATTCACTCTGAAAAGCAGAACTAATTCCTAGAAAGCATTAATTACACGCACTTGACATGAATAAATAAAACACTGAACTGGAGATGAGAAATAAGGGGATAGACAACAAACTGAAATTAAAACAAAACTGGCCAAAAACTGGAAGGAATAAAGAGAGGAACCCAACAAGATAGAGAAATATTATAACAGGAAAAATAAAGTTCAATACCAAGAGTAATTCTAAACCAGAAGTAGAAGGGGAAAAAAAAAAAAAAAACCCAACACAGACATGGAAGAAAAGCTTGAGATATTGCTACCAGATCCAAAAGAAAGTAGGATTAACTTCTTTTTTCCATAAATAATTTTTAAAAAATATGAAACAATGAATCTCTCTTGAATTGAAAAACATAAATATTCAAATTAAAACATTAACTATGATAACAGATGAAGATTAGTGAAATTCTAGAATGGGAAAGGTGAGGAAAGTATTGTAAGTTCTGATGCCTCGCTTGTCCTTAACATTTCCTAACAAAGAAAAGAATATGTGAAAATAAGTTGGAATAGTTCATTTACTGATTTTCTGCTCCTTGGTAAGTAGCTTGAAAGGATTTCAGTGGACATTAGGTCACAGTAACAAATTCTGTAAAAGATAGCTAGTTACCTTCTCTAGTTAGTATTCCTCATCAAGACTGGTGACAATGGACAACCGTAGCTAAGGCCATGTCGTAGTTGATATTCTATCTGCATGGAGTTTAATTATTGCAGGCCAAGAGCAAATCCTGTCCCCATTCCAGACTGGTTGTGACCTCTGACTTTCTTTTAAGACCATTTTTCAAAACAGCTCTCTTGTGGCCTGACTCGGGGTGGGGGTGGAGGTACAGTCTTGTGTAATGGTGATGGATCTCGGTTGTTAGAACGCTGTTACACAATCCTGCATTTTTATCATTCTAATGACTTTTGCTGGACTCGGGAAGCGTACTCCCCTGCCAGATATTTATACAAGCTCATCAGGGACTTGATACAATACAGATGGTGATAACCTTTTGCCATACAAAGTCCATGTTGAATTTTTCTTTGCCAGCAAAGCATTTGCCTCATTCACTATTCTGAACCAGAAAATTGCTGTTTCTGAAATGCCTCAGCAAGGATACCAGATGATGTAAACAATTTCAGGAACACTGGAAAGAAAAGTGCCAAGCTTGTACCCCGTTCCACAGACATTACCACAGAACCATTTACTTCTTCAGTCTTGGTATAAAAAAATGTCCTTATTGGATTATGTTTTTATTCAAGCATGATGAAGCACAAAGTTGGGGGGACTGTGAATTATTTTCAGTAAATCATCCACCCCTCCCCTATCTTTAAAGAACATTCCAAACCCAGATCTTGTGTAATTCTTTGCTTGAACTACTAGTCCTGCCATTCTTCTTGCTATTTTAAGCTTAATATATCTGTTTTGCCAACAGATATAATGGTTCCTGTAAATACTTACCAGTTCTCTGTAAGAAGGGAAGGAAAATAGAATCACAGCTTGGAGTGTTCTGTGTATAATGTATAGTACAGGAAGAAGTCTCTGTTTAATCCTAACTTGGATGTTAAGGAATGTTATTGAGAGCTAAGATTCATATTCCAAGAGAACATTTATTTCAGAAGTACAATAAAGGCACAAAAAGAAAATTTTACCTTTCTTATATACAACTATGTGAAACATCACACACACAGGCACACACAGAATAGTAGTTTACCTTAAAATGTGGTTTACCTGAAAATGTTTCTTTTAAGGTAAACTACTATTCTCTGCAGACCAATTCACTCAACTAACTCTCTCCAGTGTCTAAGAGTTGATGCACTCCATTTTTTCATTAATTCACTCATCAAATAGATATTTATGAGCACATACTCTTTGCCAGACACTATCAAGAATACTATACTGAAAGCCAGGCATGATAGCCTATGCCTGTAACCCCAGCTACTCAGCAGGGTGAGGCAGGAGGATTGCAAGATCAAAGTCAGCTTCAGCAACTTAGTGAGACAGATGTCTCAAAATGAAATTTAAGGGAAAGGAGCTGGGGATGTAGCTCAGGGGGAGAGTACTCACCTAGCCTGCACAAGAACCTGGATTTTGTTCTCAGTATTGCTGAAATACCTTGTTAAAAAGAAATTTCACATTTCCCCCCTCTTCTCCTTTCCATTATTAGTCTCACTTGTGTCTTGATGACTGTTAACTCCCATGACCTTGTAGAAGAGACGTAATTCACGGTAAGCACAAGAGGAATGTAGAATGTCCATGGAGGTGAGATTACGCCTGCTGAGTGGAACAGCTAGAAGGAAAAAGAATTCATCATTTAGTCAAGAACAAGGACACAGAAGCACAGCTTGCACATCTTAGAGTATTAAAACTGGGACTTACCCTTGGAATATGGAAAAGGATAATTTCAAATACAAATTAAATAACGTCTTACTTCATGTCCTCCATATCAGATCATTGGACTTTTACCCAGAGATGGTACTGAATGAAAAAAAAACAAATATATATGTGAGTGTGTGTGTATTTAGGTTCATTCTGATTGTTGTTTATATTATAGGTCTCCCCACCCCAATGTATACTAACTAAAAATGTAAACACATATATACATACACATATATACAGAGGAGCCTCTTCTGGCTAGTTCCTGGCCTCTCTGGTCAACCCTGGATTAAGTCTTTTAATAGATTCTTGGCTTTCTGTCATGAAAGGCTGTTGAAGCTCATGTTGTCCATTTCTCACCTGAACCTGAAATAAACCATTTCTTCAAGAATTCCTGGCTCCTTCTGGTGGGCAGGACATTTGGGGACTATCATCAGGGCTTTAAAGATGCTTCTTTCTACTGAGGCTGGTCCTTGCTCCTGTTTTTGTGGATATGTTCCAATGTGTCTTTGGAATGGATTCCTAGAAGTGGGTTATTGGGTCAAATGATGAGATAGGAAAATTTTAATGAAGAATGTTATAAGACAATTCTCAAGCTCAATTGGAAAAGAAGCATTTTAAGGTAAACCACAAACATTTTGAGAGAGAGAAAAAAAAAGATGAGTATTTTCTTTACCAGATATGAAAAAAAATTACTATAAAGCTATAGCACCTGAAAACATGTGATATTGGCCGAGAACAGACAAGTAGGTTAAAAAAAAAAAAAAAACAGAATGGAGAGACTACAACCAAGGAAAAAATGAATAAATCAGTAAATCATTTTGCAAAAATTACTTATCCCGATGAATAAAAATAAAGGTAAAATAAATACCAAAGGGGAAAAAAACTGTGGATTTAGGAATTTTTAAAAATTAAATATGCATTTAATATACAAGTGAATATCTTAGCAAATTGTGGGGGGAAGTTTTCTAAAGCAAGATACAGGAGGTAAGGATTATTACAAGATTTTGACCCAGCAGCTGGAAAAACTGCTGAGGTATAGGTTTCTCTTTATGGACAGATATTTATTGACCATTTTCTCTTTGTTAGGCAGTACTCTAGATTCTGGATATTGAGGAATTGAAAAAAATGGATAAAAATAACTGCCTTCAAGGAAATCACATTTGGGGAGAAGCCCAGGCCTTCATTGAAGCTGTTCTTGCCCTTGACATTCTGGGCCTACCACTTCTGAATATCTTTGAGTGTCTTTAACACAAAGGTGTTATGTAAAGTGATCTCTTTCTCTTCCATCCCTGATATTCTTCCTTGTAAAATGTGAGAAAGCAGTGTTCCAAAAGATATTCTCTACCTACCTTTCAAGATATCCCAAGGTTCAATCAGGAATAGATGTTGTGTATAAAAGATAAAATATGTCACTATCTGCTGTTGAACAATTTTTATAAAAAAAAATCTCTATTTTCCTGATGTTACACTTTGAAACTCTAATACACCTGATGACGAAAACTCTAGATATTTGCAAGAAGGTTCAAAAATCAGTTTCTCAAATACTTTTATAAACTGAGTCACATTCAGGATTCTTTCTCTTCCTCCCCAAAGTCAAGTGAAAGCCCTGGTGCTTATGCAGAGCTGCTTAGGGGGTGCTCTCCTCTCAGCACTGACATGTTCTGCACTTCCGTCTTCTATGGTGTACAATTGTCTCATCACTGGTCATGACGGTCATCGTTGGACATTGGCACATTTGTTGGTTAGTTTTGTAGACCTTTGGTGCCCCTAGGACTCCTTGGACCTCTTCATACTTATGTGACCAGAGAGAGATACATCTCCATCTGGCTTTGGCTCACATGGTCCATGGCGCCATCCCTTGCCGAACACATGGATCTTAATATGATGTTGGCTTTCTCCCTTCTATACCCCTTTAGGAATATGGAGGACTCATCAGGTCCTCTCTCCTTTAACACCCACATAATTGTACTGCATTGTCCCATGTCATCATGATCAAGGGCACTACTGTGGGACAGCCAGTACCTGAATATCCCAATAGACAGAGGACCTATGAATCCCTATGCCTAGGGGGTTGTTTAGTGATCACCCCTTCTTCTGTGACTGAGTTGGGAGTTGGAGAAATTGGTGGAGAATTCAAGACCTCACAGCAATGTCTGACATCTCTTGTTCTCTAATTCTTTCACTCTCCCTGTCCTCAGAGATTCATTTCTTGTCTCAAGGGTAGAAAAATCTCATATTTATCAAGAATTTATCCCAAATCCTGTCCTTCATCAAAAGATATCTTTTTAAACTCTGAAAACTAAGACGTGAAACTGTTGACTGGGCCCCTTGTTTCCATATTGAGGGGCTGTCCTTTGACATCTTGCACATTATTCTGTCACACAAACTGCCCTCTGTGCCCATCTTCACCATGTTCCCATCTGTGCTGTTTCCTGGATCTCACTTGGTTTTATAGAAGGAGCGGGATGAAGTGTTTGAATACCTCTTGTCAAACTGCTGGCTTTCCAGATGTTTTCTGGAGTCACTTTTTGTTTAATTTATTTTAAGTTCAAGTTTAACATCTTTAACTATAACTCACAGACACAAATGAAATTTCAAGTAAGGCTTATTGAATTATAATACTTAATATTGAGTGTATACAAAAGGAAATTGCTTTCTACAGATGTGAATTGTACAATCTGAGGGAATCTGGATCCTATAGTGAGTCTGGCCCCTGAAGTGAATTGAATCAGACTTATTGTTAAGTTACAGTACCTCTTTTTTAATTTCTATAAAACTTAGGATACAATTGTTGCTCTTCCTGTCTAGCTACTGGAAAACATGCAGAGTTTCTTGAATTACTATCTAATAAACATGAATGCCTTCTAAGCAATTGCCAGAAAACACACCCTGGCACTTCTTTACCTTTCCTACCCAATTCTAATGAAAATCATCAAAGATGAATTGGAAACAATACCAGAATCACCTCTGGAGCTCTCAGCCTTTATGGTTTGATGTTACAGAACACAGTGGCAATAAATAGAATGCCGGTTTAAAAGGATTTTTTTTCCCTTCCATCTGTGGAGAAGGAATAGCATATAATATTGTAAAACAGAATTCACTTGTCCTAAAATAATAAAGCCCAGGGTAGGATTTAGTGAATCAATGTTTTCTCATGAAGATAGGACACCGCCAAAAACAGCGGATTTTATGCTAATACTGGGTGGTCCAGAAGAGATGGAGTATTGAATCCATTCTACATTTTTGAAGGAGCAATGGAAAAACAAATATAGAAGAAGGTCAGCCATTATTAACTCTGGAAAAGACACTCTGCTAAAATTTCTTCCCATTAGGCTTTAAGGGTTCATCATACAGAGGTTTAGATGGATGCATAGAGAAGTAGACATAGAGAGAAATACTAGACTCAGATTTGATTGATATATTATGAGAGCCTGGAAAATCAATAAAAGACAGCCTAACAATAAATAATAACATTCATTTAAAAATTCATC